CTAGTTGAAGCACAGTATGGATTACTCCGCGTGTAACTCACCAAGGTTGCACTAAAACATTTTTGACAGATTTTTGAGTGCTGTGTAGCATAAAATCAGTTTGAGGTCAGTGAGCACAACCAGAATTCATACATAAGGCGGACGGTCGATTTTTGAGAAAGTTAAAGGATTTTAAGTGCACCTTATAGTAAAATACAGTGTATTGTTAAAGTGTGTAACAAAAGCAGATTCTTCTCATGTTGTGGCTGTGCCCTACAGACCAGCTGCCAGCATTGCTACAGAGCCTGACTCCTCACTCTCCGTGTGAACCCTGCCAGGGTGTGAAGGGTCCTCCAGGTGAGCCGGGAGCACCGGGACCCAAAGGCTCCATGGGAACTCCAGGCTACCCTGGCAGGAATGGCGCTCCTGGTTACCCAGGACCTCCTGGAATACAGGGCCCCGCAGGCCTCAAAGGTTTGATATGACACAGTTTATGAACCAGTACCTTCAGACAGGTTTCTGTTGCCTGTACTCAAAGCTTCCTCTCACCAATGTTATATCTGCTCCACTGTGACAAAAAGCTCCATTCTGGCTCCTCACTCTGATGAAAACAAGGCAATAAGTAACAACACAGCATCACAAAGAAGCGATGGGACAAAATTTACGACCGCTTTCATCAACAGTTAAAATCAAAACAGTGTCAATGATGAACAAATTGGATGTGTTGATGTTCACTGTACCCCATAAAACAAGATCATTAAACAAGCGAACATCAGTGAAAGTCAGCAGAGCAAAAGACAACAAATGCTCCACACCCATCTCAGTGAGCTGTCTGTGATTTATCACCACTTCAACACAGAGAGCGGCTAATCAGCTGTGGAAGATACCACTCCACTGCTGTGGAGCATTTTAGCTTGTTAGGCCAGCCATGCAGCGACTTTGGAGGAGTCAGAGCTGGTCGAGAACATTAAGGGAAGACGCTGAATAATTCTGCGCCCTGGATGTGCACATATCCAGGTAATTGTACAACTGTCAGTAATAGTTTTAATCATTTTAAGTTTATTTATGTATCACCCATTCACAATGTAGTCATCCAAAGGCACTTTGTAGTGGATGAAACTTTTTCTGTGGTTCATAATCAGGTTTCTGCACAGAATCAGTTTGTGTGAGCGACACTTTGCACTTAAACAGCTGTTTAGTTCCTCTGACAGGGAGGTGTGATTTTACTTCTGAGGCAAAGCTACAGAGTGTTTATTCGGCTAGTTTGTTGCACACTTCGGATCATCAAATACATTTTAATATTCGAACAAGCCAAACAGAAGTATGACAAATTGGTACAAACCATACTGAGTGGAGAAGCCATTTTTCTTCTGAACTCTGCACACATCTGAATCTGCCAGTAGCCCTTTGTTAAATGCAGTGTGATAAAAACGCCAGCTATGCCTAACCAATCCAGGAACTCCTTGACCCGGGATATGGGATAACAAAACGTTCTCACTCCCAAAGCGTAATATTTTATGCTAGGTGACGAATCGTCAGTATATTACGCTTTTGGCCACCTGACATGACGTAGAGCAGGTCACCTACTGATCGGAAGGTTGGTGGTTCGATCCCTGGCTCCTCCAGTCTGCATGTCAAGTGTCCTTGTGCAAGATACTAACCCCCAGTTGTTCTCCGATGCGTCCATTGGAGTGTGAATGCAGTTAGAAAAAGCAGTAAGTTCAGAGATTTTTTTATAGAGCACTTTGACGACTCCGGGAGAGTAGAAAAGAATAAGAATCAGTCCATTTCCTATATTACGAGTTTGGAAAAATGAGGAAACATGAGAACTGTTTGGAATGAATCTACACATGTAGGTTTATTTTACTTAAATCGTTTTGGAAAACACTAACACGATTAAGGTGATGGTTAAGATTAGGGATAAGGTTAGGGTTAGGGCTGGAATACATGGCTGGAGCGTGTATTACTGCGGGAGTGTCGTTGTATTCGATGTCATTCACAATCTGCCGCGTATCATGGGAACGGCCACCTTTCGCGTTCCCATGGGACGCCTCGGGATGTGACAAGTTGTCGGTATGTGAGAGCCACCTCGGGATAAAGATCAAACTGTGACACCTCGTTCACCTTGCGATAGTGAATACACAGGAACTATGGACCGTGCACTGTGTGACTCTTTCAGCCCTATGAGTAATTTGTCTTTTGTGCTCATACTGTCACGCCAGGGCTCTCTGGGCCTGTGATGGCAGGCAGCCCACCGCCATAGCCTGAAACACCTCCAGGAAGGACTGGAGGTCATCTGCTTTCCTGTTTGGTGTAGCACCACCAGAGCAGGAGGCGATGAAGTCTGTCACTTAGCCTGGGTGTCCAGCTGCCGCTTATTTGCGACCACCTGCTGCTGATGCTTGGCCACCATCTGATCCAGTGTCCTAACTGGCTGCAGTACCTGTGGGTTCAACATGTCACAGTCATTCAGCCGACCCGACCATTAAACTCCTGCCACCATATGGGACTCATATGATGTTTTTCTGATATGCTGTGTTAGTTTTATGTCGGACAAAACATGATGGAAAGATTTCAGAAAGTTTAGCTTTTTAAAACTGGGAAGTCTCCTAGCAACCTGTAGTTGCTAGGAGACCCACTGAACCTTTTCCAGCATGGGAAGTTATTGTTTGCATGGAAAACAGACGTAAAATGTCCCCAAAACTCAAATTTACAGAAAACATTTTTGTTCCTGAAGCTCTCAGTCTGAATCTAATGTTAGTTTTTAAACAGACCTATCATATCTCCAGGTGACATGGGACCCAGAGGGTTGAAAGGCAGAAAAGGAGATGGAGACCAGGGACCACCAGGACCACCTGGACTGCAAGGTATGTTTAATTGTGCACATATTAACTCTTAGTAGCTCTTAGTAGTGTGGATGTTTAATAAATGCCACAAATATACCACGAATATAAACTTGAATGATATCCCATTCTTAATCGATGGAGTTTAATATAGTGTCGGCCTACCGATTGCATCTATAACAGCTTCAACTCTTCTGGGAAGATTTTCCACAAAGTTTAGGAGTGCACATTTATGTACACTTATAAATGTACATTTAAGTACGTTTATAAGGTCGAACACTGATGTTGGACTGGAAGGCCTGACTCTCTGCTCTGTCATGCTGAGGTCAGGACTCCACGTCTTTATGTATCTTGTTTTGTTCACTGCTGCTCAGTTATGTTGGAACAGGAAGTGGGCCATCCCCAAACGGTTCCCACAAAGCCGGGAGGATGAAATTGTCCAAAATGTTTTGTTATGGTGGGCATTAACAGTTCCTTGCACTGGAATTAAGAGGCCCAACTCCTGAAAACCAAACGTTCCACATGGCACAGTGCAGTCAGACAAGTACTGCTCTCCTGGCAACTTCCAAACTCAGACTCATCCATTGATTCGCCAGACGGAAAACTGTGATTTGTCACTCCAGAGAAACCGTTCCACTGCTCCAGAGTTGAGTGGCGGCATAGTTTGCATCACTAACACTAACATCGTGCTTGGTGATGTAAGGCTGGATGAAGTTGCTCATCCATGCAAACCAGTTCCATGAAGCTCTCTTTACAGTGATCTTGAGCTAACCTGCAGGTTCACATCTGCACACTGTGCACTTCAGTACCTATTTATATTTATACATGTTTTACTCCTGCACAGTTGGAGCACCCATGATTTCACTGCATGTACAATGACACATCTGCTGACCTCGCTCTCTTATTTTATGTGGTCGACCACTTTATGAGTTTTTGTTGTTCCCACTCACTCTGTCATAATACCACTGTGGACTTGTTGCATTATTTTGTAAACCTATGATCTAACTGACTTGAACAGAGGTGGTTCTTATTTCAATCTTTTCTTTTCCATCCAGGGATTCAGGGTCCTCGTGGCTTTGATGGGATTGGCCAGCCGGGCAACCAGGGAATCCCAGGCAAACCGGGTCCGCCGGGAGATCCTGGCAAAAGGGGTAGTCCAGGACTTCCAGGGGTTTGTGACATCTCTATGTGCTATCAGACCTACAATCTCAGGGAACACTACAGCAAAGGACCACACATCTGATGACGTGGGAGTGAGAGAGGTTGCTTTTGACTTTAAGACAGAGATATCTGCAGCCAAGGCAGTTGTAACCTCATGAGCTGGTATGAACAGAGATATGGAGGGCATTGATTCATGATCACTGAATATGATCAAAGAGGGTCAAGCTGGCTAGCGTCCGAGATACTTTAAACTTCTGAAGTTTAAATAGTGAATTCTAAATCCTGATTGAGTCAGACGAACACAAAGAGCTGCAACTGAGTCGCATTGTTTTTGTCAGTGTAAGAGGCAAGAAGGCCAGGAATCTGAATAATAATAAATATGTCTACCTCCTCGTTTACCTGAATTACTGTTTAAGTTAATGATACAGAAGGCAAATATGATTAATACCCTCAATAAATATGTATAACATGTATTAATTAAATCGTGGGCTAATGTGAGAAAAGCACAATTACTATAAACTGCATATTAAAATATTAAAGAAATAGAAAAGAATCAGTTCGTATGCTGTGCTTGGAAACCTCTGCTTTTCTACTGAGGATGAGCCGGTGAGGTTATTTCTGTCGTCTGTGCAGCTCTGCCTCTGAGAAATGATGCCATCTGCAAATGGTGAAAAGTGCAGCACCTGCCGCCATGATGAATTAGGATCTGTTGTATGGAACACGCCGTTTTCACATGATTATGTTGAGGTTCGCTAAAGTTCAAAGGTTCATAAGTGATAAAGATCTTGACCTCCTTTAGGTGCAGAGTACGTGTAATCACTAAAGGTGGAAAAACATATTTATGTCATGTTTTGTGCACAGAGCATCACAATTTGTTCTAATCCAAAGCTGTGACAGATGTTTTTGTTTTCATGAAACCTGTTACTGCTTTTAATCTGTCATATTTGTTTACCAGTATTATGTATTCACTTTGCATTTGTTTAGTGTTCATGTGGATTACTGTAAAACCTCATCTGCAGAATGAACAAGTCCTTTATATTTGAAGCTTAGATTAAGTTCTTTCTTCTTCTTTCAGGTGTGTATTTTATTTCAAAAACAAACTCTAATTGTAATATTGCTGCTTAAGCCACTTGCAAGTGAAAAGGTCATCCATGTCTTCAACATTATCCATCGTGTTTCTGCTATTCTCTATTTTAATACTGTTAAAATCATTAATTATCTCCTTTCACTTTCCTTTTTTAATCATTTATTCTGCCTTATAAATTATACAGCTTTTTTTTTTT